GTTACCCATATAAACCCTCTGGCTTTCCTCTTTTGTAACCCGCCCTACCCTAACACCCTTTCGGGATTAGCAATTGCAATAGATATATATTTATTATAGATATAATAGACAAAATCTTTTATTCTGAAGAGTTCATTTTAATAAGAGTAGAGTGTATTTTTTTTTTAAATAAAATAATATTATCTTTAACTTATCTAAAACACAAGCTTGTTTAATAATAAAATTAATACTATTACTAGATATTGTATTTAATTATATAAAATTTTAACAAAATGTTATTAAAATTTATAAAAAATATTCTAATTGCCTCAAACATTGAATAATTTTTATACTTCCAATAAAAGTTATTTAACAAGAATACAAAAGTTACTTTATTATAATTCTTATGATTCTAGTATAATATAAAAGTTTATATACAAAATACTATGTTAATATACTTATTAAAGGAATTTAAATAAAACAGAATTGTATATATATTCAAAATTACTAGAATCAAGTTATCAAAAAAGTCAATTAATATTTTATATTCTATATCTTTAAATATAATTTTGAACTTTTTCAGTATTTTTTTTTTTTTATCTTTAACCATTCTTAATATACAAATTCAATACTTATTCTTTATGGTTTTGAATTTTTAGCAAGAATTTTTCATTTACCAAAAACTATATGAAAAAGCTTTTTAAAAAAAGAGTAATTAACTATTAGAATTTGCTTCTGACTATTTAATAAAATATATTTTAGCCTAATATGGGCATAAAAATATTAACAGCTAATAGTATAAAAATTTAAATTTGTTGCTATAAATAAATTATGGCTTTTTATATAAAAAGTTGTTTAGACCAGTCAGCGATGACTAGTATTATATAATTGTTTGTATATCCAATATATTTTTTACTAAGATAATCATTTCTAATATATTTAAGTAATTTTCTAGTATATAAAGATTACTTTCTTTAATTCTAGCTAGTTTTAGTTTTAAAAATTTATTAATTTTATTAAAAGTGGGTTTTTAATTTATTAAAAAACAAATTTTAATACAGATTATTACTTATTATAAACTTTTAAATATATATTTTAAATATATCACTCTAATTAATTACAAAATAAAACTTTTATATTGTTCTACATGCTAGTAAAATAATCCTTAAATGTTTTGGTAAATTAGATAGAGTGATGCAATTTTAGATAGTGTACTCACAAAAATTGTTCTTCTTTGTAAGAAATTAAAGTTAATAAAACTGTATTAAAGTTTGGGTTAAATTAGAGTAATTTAGTATCTATTAGTTTTATTAGTTAAACTTCAAATATTTTGTTGTTTTATTTTAATTCTTTATATTATACTAGTAAAATTTTAATAATTAGAATTACAGAACAATTTTGTAGGTATTGCACCATCTTACTAGGAACTTGCTTGAACATGTAATATATTAAATCAGCTAAATTATTTCATATATACTTAAGATATCTATAGATATTTAGTACACTAGTATTAATAACAATAGTTTGTTCCTTTATCTATACATATTTATTGCATATATGTATATATAGTAGCCAACAAAAGTAATACACAATTTGCAAATCACCTAATATAAGCAAATAAAAGAGCTGTATTTACCCTATATTTATATATTTTTAGTTCAATTATTTTTATTTTTTGCTTTTTTTATGTTTAAATAACAAGCTCAAAAATGAAAATAATTTTTTTTTATGAAAATGCTATGCAAACAAATAGATAAAAAAGAGAAAAGAATAGTCCTTGCTTATATCAGTACAATAAGTGCTAAGTAAGTTGTCAAAAAGCTTAAACATAACCTAACAACAATTTGAAGATTTTTAGCAAAGTACAAAAGGACCAAAAAAATAGCAAATTTATATAAGTCCAGACATCTTCCACTTTAAAGAAGCAAGAAAAAACTGCTATAGTAAAAAAAAATATTGAAGGAAAGATGTGTGCCTCTGCACAAAATTATGAAGGAATTAAACCTTCAATGTAATGAGCAAAACATAGCTAGAATCTTGCACAGTGCTGAGTTTTGTTCTTGTGTTGCTGTTTTGAAACCTTTTTTGTTACTAAGCAATATAGACAGACATAAAAATTAGTGTAATCAATATAAAGACAAGGACACTTATTATTGGAAGTATATCATTTTTTCTGATAAAATAAGTATTGAAGTAGGTAAACAATCTTGCCAAGTTCAATCATAGCATTGTGCAAATGAAGGATATGCACATAAGTGTTTGCAACCAAATTTTAGAAGTGGGAAGGTTTCAGTAATGGTTTGGTCATGTTATATTAATATGATTAAAGAACCTATAGTTTTTTTTTGATGATTACAAAAATCCCAAGCAAAAAATTAATAAAAAAATTTATATCAAGATCTAGACAACTACCTCATACTATTTATAGCTGCTGCTCATTTGTTACTCAATGCCTATCCAATTTTTCAGCATGATAATGCCCCTATTCACAAAGTGTCAGATTGGTTAAAATTAAAAAAAAATCAATTATATAAATTGGCCTTCATAATTCCCTGACCTAAACCCTATAGAAAACATTTGAAAAATCATGAAGGACAATATTCAGAACCATGATGACTTCCCCCATGATAAACCTGTGCTTAAGGCAGCCATAATAGATGCATGGTCAAATTTGAATATGTTGGTTCTTTGTGTAGTTTCCAACTCAATGACATGAAGAACCAAGGCTATTGCAAGTGCAGGTGGTTATTCATCAAAGTATTAAATAAATAAAAAAAAAAACTTAATGTATGTGCAGTCAAAATTAAATAAATAAAATTTTATGTTTTGGACAAAAATCGGGCATTACTTTTGTTGGCTACTGTACGTGCTCTATCTCTGATTCTGTATTGGGATGCACGTACGTATATGAATTCGTCATTTTTGTTGGAGCTAAATACTGAATAATTGTGTATAGTGATGGGAAAAATGCGCATTTTATAATAACATGCGCATGAATGTGCATTAATGCGCACTTTATATAAAATGCGCATGATATCGCATGATATAAATTTTGGAATTTATATTTTCCCTTCGAAAAATATCGGATACGAGCTCAAATTTATACTCCAATCTTGCCCTTCTTTTTTTTCATTCATTTTCTTTTCGGAATTTTCGAGATTTTTGTATCCATATTCTTTAATTCCGCCCGACACTACGCGCTCTGGCCTAAATTACATATGCTTTAATTTTCCTATATAAAAATTAGACGTGATAAAATGTGCATGATTCCGAAACATGCGCATTAATACGCACGATTAAGGAATCATGCGCACGCATGAAACCCATCTCTAATTGTGTAACATCTACACGTAGATCACGAATCTTTGACCAATTAAAACAAATTTCTAGCATGCTCCACCCATCGTGCTAGTAATTTATGTTTATATTAATTGTATGATAAGATATTTTTTCTACAATTTTATTAAATCACACCAGTGGTATTAATATTACAGACATTATATTTCAAAATCATCTAAGCAATCAATGTTTAGTAGCGTTCTAAGTAAAATGTTCAACACCCAAAAAACCTCACCTTATTTTTAATTTGAACTCTTTGCTTTAACTTAGAACCCATAATTCTATATTCTATCTGTAAATTATTAAAAAGTATATGTGGTGTTGAACACCACTGGAGCAATTCAGTAGTATTTTAATATTTTGATTATTTTTTTGATTGTTTAAAAGCTAATATTATAGTAGAATGTCCAAATAAGTTAGTGCAGTGTTTTTACGAAGTGCATCTGCTAATGCCTTCTCTCCTTCATATCCAAGACCATTTTCTTGAAGATTCAAAGAAGTCAGTGTGGTGTTTTTGCAAAGTGAATCTGCTAATGCTTTTCCTCCTTCCAGTCCAAGTCCATTATTGTAAAGATCCAAATTTTTTAGTGTAGTGTTCTTGCAAAGTGCGTCTGCTAATGCTTTTCCTCCTTCTAATCCAAGATAATTACAAGCAAGATTCAAAGAGGTCAATGTGGTATTCTTGCAAAGTGAATCTCTTAACGATTTTCCTCCTTCTGGTCCAATTTCATTATAGTCAAGATATAAAGAAGTCAGTGCATTGTTCTTACAAAGTGCATTCGCCAATGCTTTTACTCCTTCTGATTCAAGTTCATTATCACGAATATCCAAATCTTTTAACGTGGTGTTCTTGCAAAGTGCATCCGCTAATGCTTTTCCTCCTTCTGATCCAAGATTATTGCTAGCAAGATTCAAATAAATTAACGTAGTGTTTTTGTAAAGTACGTCTGCCAATGATTTTCCTTCTTCGGGTCCAAGATTAGTGCTAGCAAGATTTAAAGAAGTCAACGCAGTGTTCTTACGAAGTGCGTCTGCTAATGCTTTTTCTCCTTCTGGTCCAAGATAATTAATACTAAGATTCAAATCTTTCAGTGTAGTATTATTGCAAAGAGCATTTCCTAATGCCTTCCCTCCTTCTGGCCCGAGACAATTCCACCTAAGATTCAACGAAATCAGAGTAGTGTTCTTGCAAAGCGCATTTGCTAATGCATTTCCACCTTCTGAACCAATATTATTCCAATAAAGATTCAAAGAGGTAAGAGCGGTGTTTTTGCAAAGTGCATCTGCTAGAGCACTTGCGCCTTCCGATCCAAGATGATTACTAGAAAGATCCAGATAAGTCAGAGTGGTGTTTTTGCGAAGAAATTTTGCCAATAACTTCCCACCTTCAAAATCAATTTGATTATTACTAAGATCCAAGGTATTTAGGACGACGTTTTTATAAAGAGCATCTAATATTGTTTTCACTCTTTCAGATCCAAGTCGAACAAGTTTAAAATTCAATGAAGTCAAAGAATGCTTATAAAGGATCTTTACTAGTGCATCAGTTACCTTAGATTCAAAACCACCACCGGCATCATATAAATCCATAGAGACAATGGTAGTGTTTTCATAAAGTTTTTTAAATATTATTTGATTGCCAATAATTTCGTTTAGACTTAAATATTTAAGATTTTCGCTAGTTCGTAGAAACATTGCAATCAAAGAACATCCAACAGCATTTTCAATGTCATGTCCTATGTAATGTCTTTCATTATGAAGCCAATCTCTAATTCCATCATACAAATAACTGTTAATAGATGTGATATAACTTGTGTATTCAAATAATGGTTTTGGATAACTTGGAAGAGTAATTTTAAAAGGAGTTAATGGTGCTCTTTCTTCGGCATTCAACGTTAAAAGGAATATTTTTATAAGTCTTATATCTTTAAGATGATTTTTTGGTTCGCTCCACAATATTGGTATAATAATTCTACACCAATGACGGTTTACAAGTGAGCATAAATATAAGTTTTTATAGTTATGTTGGAGGTTATTAAATATTGCATAATAACATTCATTCGGTAATGTTATCATGTTGGAAAAAAATATAAATTTTAGCTCATCTTTTTTTTTAAACGCTAAAATATAACCAAAATAAGGTTCGTGTAACATTGCCAAGAAATCCAAATTTAAAGGTTACTGGTTTGTTATTTTGATAAGTGACCATAACGAATATAAAGTCATTCGTATGCTGAAAAGACAATACTAGGCCAAAAAGAGTTTATTATTAAAAGAATTATGAAAATATTATTAGTCAAAATTATAAGTCAATCTATCATTATCTCTGGACATAATCTGAAATATAACAGACCTTTGGCCAGTAAAAGTTTAGCCTTAGTCTTTTCAATGACCGACCCTTCCCTAGTGTCACGATCAATAAGGCACATTGAGGAGAACCCATTAATATTGGTCAAGGAAGATTTTATCATTTCGTTTAATAATTATAAATATGATACTACCGTAAATACAAAAATTTTATAAAATACGAGATTTTTTATTATACGTTGATCACAGTAAAGCATTGGAAAAATTCAATTAACCACCCTTGTTGCCGACATTTCATTAGCTTGGATATTAGACTGAATATCACTTATTTTTTTATATCGATTGATTAGCTTCTTCAGATATAAAAATATCACGCTAAACACTAACAAAAGAATGACAATAATTGAAGATAAAATAATAATAATGATTATTAAAGGTTTACTATTTACACTAGCACTAGTTGAATATGTCACAACGGAATCTTCGTTATTTATGTCAAGACCATTGATTTTTGGTAGAGAAAGATCATTACTTATAATGTTAGTACTTTTTATATCGTTAAAAGTTGTTTCCCATTTTTGACTTGACATATTGTAGGCTATCCAAGTATCGAGGATAGGTTGACTGCAATATCCAGCTGTACCACCATAAATCTTTTAATCCGGTAAAAAAAAAAACAGTGATTAAATTGAATAAATCTACATTATAAACATTATTAAATATTAAAATTCTTCTTACAAATACGGAGTCAGACCATTGAAATTGTGCCCCATATCCCCGATTCCGAGTTATTGTAAGGTTTTGAATGAATGGTGCCGAAATAACATTATCAAATTGAAAAGTTTTCAAGTCAAAATTTACCACTTCCATAATACCACCGCCAGTATCCATCATGATAATACTGAGTTTATTGTTCCAAACACCTATTACACCACTATTAAATGGGACTGGCAATTGAAATTGAGGAATCATAAATCCATATTTTGGTGAATAAATATAAGTAGTTTGATTTATGGAATTATCTTTCTCGTGAAAGCCACCAAATATGAATGAATTCCCTTTGACCGATACGACACCAGCAGATTTAGTTGGAACAATATTACTCTTTTAAATCATGAAATAACTTTAACAAAAAACCTCAAATAATTCAATATATGAATGATATTAGTCATTTACCTTATTATCAGATAAAACCGTCCATTGCCATGGATTAACATTTATATCTAATAAATATGATCCTTGTATTGTAGAATTCGCACCCCACATAAACATAAGGCCAGGTTGTAACCATACTGCACGTGGTCCCCAAAAGTCAGTCGTAAGATCGTTTGGAATAAAGTTTTGTGAATATTGCGGATCATTCCATCTTTGAGTATTAAAATCGTAAACTTGAATACCAGGCAAAGTATTGTTAAGATAATCTTTGCCGCCAATCACGAATAAAAGGCCGCGAGTTTCGTCAACAATACAACCGGAGTCAGTAACACTTTTAACATTTTGAGTTGAGAGTGGCTGCCATGAGATTTTGCCTTGTGAAAATGGCGGAGTTGCATAGTGGAAAAAATTGGTCACTGCGAAACTATTACATCCTATTGTTCCTCCGAAAATGTATAATGAATTTTTATAAGTTACCAAACAGTGTGAAGCGAGTGGTCCAATATCCTCTGGAGCTGACATAATTATCAAACTCATAAAAAAGAGAATAAAACTTTTCAGTATGAATCTCATGGTTTGAAAACAAAATTTTTCGTCAAGAAGGATTTCGGAAGGTTAGCCTCTTAAGTTAAGTATTTCCATCTTAATACAGTACAGCATTGGAAACGTGAAGCCTTCTGCAGCATTTACTATAAATGTTTATGTAACAGTAAATCAATTTGGCTTTATACACGAATTGTTATTTTTATTGCTACACTGTACCTGTTTTCCATAAACGTACATGTTTATGCATAATAGTCAAATTCTGACACGTACGTAAATCGGACCCAATCTGAATCTTGTCCTGAACTAGTTAGCGTTAGAAAGTCATAGCTCCGAAGACTAATATGCAGTGCGAATAATTTTGGAATTTCTGTAATACTTTCTAATACACTCTTTGTAACAGAGTTGATTACTAAATTTTTAATTTAAACACAGAAATCGAGCATCTAACAATTAATCCAATTAGCAAATGTCTATCTGTCTCTTTTTGTCAATTTCAGGTGCCATAAACTGCATGAACTTCTATTTGCAGTATAAACAATATTTAGCGGGCAATCTGATTGACCAGAAATAGATGATCTTGAGATAAGGCATGATGGCGGGCAGATATTTTGATCTGTAGAGTCTGTATCGGTATCGGTATTAATTATAAATAAGGCTTTTCATATTAAGTACTGTATGCACGTACGCGCAGTACGTACATACATACTGTATTGCACTAGATATCGATATGATAGATTCAATTAAAATTTTTTGTCAACGAAATTTTTTCATTAGATGCAATACTTTATGTTGGGTTTTGAATTTGATGATAATTACAGAAAAAATCATTTTTTTTAAAGAAAAAAATAAGATTCGCTGTTTTAAATTTTTAGATCAATGATCGTCTATATTATTACGTACTTGGATGATCATCTATGTACCGAATTTTGGTGGCGTCAATAGTCTATTCTGGCCAACTCCGCCGAATCTAACTGGATAAAGTCCGATCTTAATTCGCGAAAGATCACCTAAGCCAGGTGTATATTTTACATATTAAAAATACTAACAGTCTTTAGTCGATCAATTGTTCGAGAATTCGATGCTAATGACCAGAATCGAACATCCGCAAAATCTAATATTTGGCTACATTTCTATATAATTGCATGACGATTTATTATCACTACTTTATCGCTGTTTTCGAAATGGTTCAATATAGCAATATTTGCAAAAAAAAAATAAAAAAATTTTTTTTTTTGCAAATATTCGAATATTCGGTTGGTTTGAACATTGATCGATGTCCAATATTCTTTTATTTCCCTGCATCCAATTTATATACCAAATTGAAATATTTCTCTTAATTTGCACAACAGTTCTATATGGAGTGAAGATTTTTAAAATCTCAATTAGAGATTGTACATTTATTATATGGCTATAATAAATTACCCGGATAACCGGATAATTTAACAATACCCTGGTAGAGATTTCTTGCCGGGTACAATCTCCAATCTCAATAGTATTATTTAAATGAAAGTCTTAAAATTCTTAGTCACATGATAGAATACGACAGAGTTGTTTAATGCGATAGTTTTTTTTTTATGATTCTTTAGCCCGCACGATAATATTATTAAAGGTTAAATTTTTTTTAAATCTTTAACTAATATATCTGTATTATTAAATACAAAGATATTTAATACTAATTCTCTTTAGGGCGTTCTCAAGCGTTTTACAGCTGTTTTCAAAAAGAGGTGGAAAATGATTTCCATATATCCATGTGGGAAATCTAATAATGTAGAAATTCTGCTTAGTAAAAATTAAAAATCCGATTAGAGCGGGTCTTGAAAACTCTGGAAATATCGTGAATTCTCCATGGTATAGTGATCTGCATCTTTCCACAAATTTTTGAAAACGGCTATAATCGGTGGGCCAAAAAGTAGCATAGAAGAAACTCGCTCCCGGCACTTTCCGAACACATGTGGTACACAATTATTTATACAGACATTGTACTCTAAAATTAAAAACAACGATTGAAACCGCTTAACCTGATAATTGAACCTAACATTATTAATAAATATAATCGTTATAGGTGTTACTAAAAGAATATCTTTTTCAATCGCTTTCATACGTTTTCCTCAAAAAGTTTTCATAAGAGCGAAGTTAAGCACATAGTAAATTATAGCAATACGATCATGGATGATCACAACAAAAAACACATCCGTATTTTCCCGTGAAATACGAGTTTCTTCTATGCTCCAAAAAGTGCTGGGGAACAAAGTTAGCGGAAAATATTTCATATTCTCAACTTGATAAAGTTATTACATAATTTAAGTTTTTTCTATTAGAATAGAAGAAATATTGAGCTTCTTATTTCAATTTACAACCATTTGCGAATATTTTACAACAAGCCACCTTTTTTTATCCTGGCTTGATAAAATTTGCAATTAAATATTCAAAGAGATCACTCAAGTAGCATTGTTTAATCTCGTCCACGTCTTTAATAAATTTTATTTTAATTTTATACTAAAAGTTTTCTTGGAAAATAAAAAATATGAGGAGACCCGAAAAAATTGCAGGTACCTATTTTCTCTTAGCTTTACTCATATGTCAACAAATTCAATTATTCCATTAATAATTTCTCGATAAAGACCTAAATAATAATGAACCCTGCACTGACTTTTTCTGTACCTAAATGACTTTATAATTAATTTTTTTTAACTTTTGACGATGCATTTGGTAAATAGAAGAATAATAGGTACTGTTCAATTATCAATCTTTATTTTGATTGATTATATTATCGCTCTTTTCGATTTAGTTGGATCGACGGATTTTGTAGATTTTTTTTGTCCGTGAGTCTCATATATGCATATATCCTGCATATAATAATTATCTGTAATTGTTAGTTGTCTATAATAAACAACTAACAAATAATTATAGGACTCTCGGATTCATGGGACCTACGGACAAATAAAAAGTCTGAAAAATTCATCGGAAAGAGCGATAAATGAGTATTGTTACGGTCACTAGTTAATCACATCGAAGTGAATATTTGAGAAAACTTTGATTGCGCCATTACTTGTGTATTCAAGTTGTCAAAATAATTTTATATAGATATAATTATTAGCTGACTATTGCGATCACTAGCTAATCACATTGAGAATGAGGTTTAGAACGCCCTTAGTCAGGGGTGCCGAAAAATTAATTGGCAATTAAATTTCTTCTTACACATACGTACAATACGTAAAACTAATTGAAACCCAATTAATCGCAAAATAATTGCAATTAATTGCTATTTTTGTTTTCGGGAATTTACAAATAAAGGTCAATATTCAAAAATAATTATGGATAAAGGCCCAAGTTAAAAATTATTACGTATAGCGATAGGGGTTCAAAAAAACCAAAAATTATAACAATTAAGGGCCTATCCAATCTCCGAGCTATGCAACGAGACCTAGCACAAGTGTAAGGCGCTCGGATAATGTGTACCAGGTTTGTGGCGCAGATGTTCTGACTACGAATCAGATTTCAAGATTAGGTGTAACGTAACACGATCGAAACAAACGTTCGTTCTACAATTTAACCATATGGGCGGATTTTCAGAATTCAAATATGTCACATCAATTTGAATGTGATGTGCATGATACCTAAAAATAGACTAACCAATAAAATTATATAAACAAAGTCATGAGGATCTGCATGACCAATCAGATTAATTAAAAACTTTAATACACAAGTAATATTATTAATGTCTACGAGACGACACATTACTACTACTATATACTTTGATTTCACTCATATTTATTTATTATTTAAACATATTAATTACAACATCAC